TGGGTGATAGCCTACGCGTCGCGGCACTTGAAGCCGCACAAGGCGAGATACCCTACTCATGATCTGGAGTTGGGAGCGGTGGTATTCGCTCTCAAGATTTGGAGATATTACCTCTATGGGGTCCGTTGTACCATATACACATACCACAATAGTTTGAGGCACATCATCGTTCAGCCGAACCTGAACATGAGACATCGCAGGTGGCTTGCCATGGTCAAGGATTATGACTGCGAGATCCTTTACCATCCTGGTAAAGCGAACGTGGTTGCGGATGCTCTGACCCGCAAGCCAGCTGGATCTTCTACTCTAGTGACATGTATGAGGATATCAGTGGATTCTCCACTGGTGAGTTTGATCAGGGAAGCTCAGGCTGAGGGTATGCGGCAGGAGAATTGGAAGCTTGAGAGGGTTAGGGGTGAGAACACCTGGTTTGTGGAGGATATCCGGGGATTGTTGACCCGTTGCGGTCGGGTCTGGGTTTCAATGTCTGGTGGGGTCAGACAGATTGTTCTGGAGGAGGCTTATAAGTCTAGCTTATCTATTGACCCAGGGGCCACCAAGATGTACCGGGATTTGTGATTGAGTTACTGGTGGTCGTACATGAAGCAAGAAATCGCTTGGTACGTGGAGAGGTGCTTGACCTACAGGGTGGTCAAGTCCGAGCACCAGAGGCTGCATGGCAAGATGTAGACTCTAGAGATTCCCATGTGGAAATGGCAGCAGATCACGATGGATTTCATCACTAAGCTGCCGAGGACGACGAAGGGATGTGATGCTATATGGGTCATCGTGGATCGATTGACCAAGAGCGCCCACTTCTTAGCGATATGGGAGAGTTCATCGGCCGACAAGCTGGCCGACTTGTATATCCGCGTGATCGTTGCTCGCCATGGGGAGTCGGTCTCTATTGTCTCCGACCGCGATGTTCGGTTCACCTCCTGTTTCTGGCAGAAGTTCCACAAGGAATTGGGCATGTGGATGCACTTCAGTATAGCCTATCATCCACAGACAGACGGCCAGAGTGAGCGGACCATACAGACTCTCGAGGATATGCTGAGAGAATGTGTTATTGACTTCGGTGGGAGCAGGGACTCCTACCTACCTCTTGCAGAGTTCTCCTACAACAACAACTTTCATTCCAGTGTTGGTGCTCCACCATATGAGTTGTTGTATGGACGGAGATGTCGAACCCTAGTCTGTTGGGGTGAGATCGGTCACAAGGTGATGGGACAGACAGAGGTAGTTCTGTAGACTACCAAGAGGATTCAGCAGATCAGACAGCGGCTGCAGACCGCTCAGAGTTGGCAGAAGAGTTACGTTGACAGATGCCGATATGAGCTGGAGTTCCAGGTGGGAGACATGGTATTACTGAAGGTCTCACCCTGGAAGGGTGTGATTCGCTTCAGGAAGAGAGGGAAGCTGGGTCCTCGATATATTAGAACGTTTCGGGTTATTTCCAGGGTTGGCAAGGTGGTATATAGACTAGACCTCCCGGAGGAGCTCAGTCAGGTTCACAACACTTTCCATGTCTCGCAGCAGCGAAAGTGCATATCGGATGAGGAGGCAGTAGTATCGTTGGACGATATACAGGTCGACGAGCGCCTAAATTACGTGGAGAGGCCAGTGGCAGTTCTTGAGAGGAAAGTGAAGGTTCTACAGAACAAGGAAGTACCTTTGGTAAAGGTACAATGGCAGCATCGGAGGGGATCCGAGTGGAGTTGGGACCGGAGGCGGAGATGCGGGAACATTACCCCGAGTTATGTACTGCAGCAGACTTTGAGGAGACAGTCTAGTTCAAGTGGGGGAGAATTGTAACACCCCGACTCCCAGGTATAAAATTTAAAGCTTATATTCATATTATAAGACCTACTCGACGAGTTGGATGCCCAAACTCGTCGTGTAGAAGCCGATTAGGCCGCGTGATTGATGAGGTCTACTCGACGAGTTGGAGGACCCCAACTCGACGAGTAGGAGCTGGAAAATGAAACCCTGATTTCCATGGTTTTACACCCTATTTAAGGGGTCATTAGCCTCCCTCTGCCTCCCTTATCATCCACCCTTGAGCTCAGAAAACCCTAATCGCGCCTACTCTCCATTTTTTTTGTTAAGAAGCTTGGAAGGTGGATTTTGTGAAGAGAGCTTGAAGTCTAAGGAGCTTGGAGCAAGGAGAAGCTTGTGGATCTGATTTCTACTTTACCTTAGCATCATCTTGAAGGTAACAAGTCATTACCTTGACTTCTCTCTAGCTAGATCTCTTCATGCAAAGGTTTAGGGCTATTTCTAGTTTGTTGTGGAGTGATTTCTGGTTTTGGGCATGATCTGAAGTTGTAACTTTAGATCTGGGCTCTTCTAGCCCCTTATAGTCATAAAGTTCTAGTCTTTAGCAAGTTATGGCCTTCTCCTTACCTAAAACGTTTTCCTTAGCTTGGTTTTGGCCTTTGAGACGTTGCACGCACGTAAAGTTTGCAACTTTACGTGGTAACTATGCCCTAGGAGGCTAGATCTACAATTTGGAGATTTGGGTAGCTTAAAAACGTCTGAATGAGAAATCGCCTGAATGGACTCGACGAGTTGCATGGTCAAATCGACGAGTCGGATGAAGATGGCTCGTTTTTGGTTCTACATGGACTCGGCGAGTCAGTGAGATGACTCGACGAGTTAGTTAGGGTTTACCCGACATTTAGACACTGCATGGACCCGACGAATTGTCTGGAAACTCGGCGAGTCAAATAGGTTTTTCACGATTTCTCGAGTTCTGGAAGAATTTGATGAGTCAAGGGGCTACACTCGACGAGTTGGGACAACATGGACTGTTGATCTTGACCGTTGGTGTTGACTTTGACTATGGGTTGACCAATTTGACTTCTGGGGTATTTTTGTAAAATTGGAAATTTATGGAAGTGGATCATTGGTGGATGTAGGTGATTGAGTTTGGAGCTGTATTTGGAGAGTTGACATTATCATCTCGAGCTACTTGTGAGGTGAGTTGTCCTCACTATACTAACAGGGTCGAATAGAGATGGCAACGGCACCGGGAATACAGAGGACCCCATCCCCGAATGATCATACCAATCCTCATCCCCATCCCCATCGGGGAATATAAATAAACCCCCATCCCCACCCCCAATGGGGAATGGGGATCCCCAATGGGGAATCGGGGATTTCTTTTGCTCTTTTAATATGAAAACTTTTCGTAAAGAAAAACTCTAAATTTCCATTTTTCTAGCATAAGTTTAAAGATTTTCCAAAATATAAAAATACCCTTAGATTGCATAAAAAATATAAACAAATTTTCTACCAAATTTAAATAAATTCATGAAAATCAAGTAGAAAAAATTATCCGAGTGATATTTGAGGTAAAACAGATAAACTAAATAGAAAAAAAAATTATACACGAGTTTAAGTTAGATAAAAGAAAAAGAAAAAGTATAATTTCAACCAAGTAATTACTAATGAGTTAGGTTACTTGGATTAAATTTTATGTATTGTAATTTTTACTATAAATATATGTGTTGTATTATTTTTATATATTACTATATATCGGGGGTGGGTCCAGGGTCGGGGATTAGGGGTATCCCCATCCCCATCCCCACATTTTTATTCGGGGATTACCTATCCCCGTCTCCATCCCCAGTCAACTTGGGGATTCCCCAGTCAAAACGGGTGCGGGTTTCAGGTTCCCCATTGGGTATGGGGCTTTTTGCCATCCATAGGGTCGAAGGCACCAATGCCGGCCCTTTTCGGATTTGTATCCGGGTTTATTGCATGTTGATATTTTAGTGACCTGTTACATCGGTATCCTGGTATATAGGATGATGTTATGCTAGTGACCTATTAGGGCGGTATCCTGGTAAATAGGATGATGATATGATTAGCGATCTGTTAGATCGGTTGAACTGTTATATATGCTAGCATGTGATATTTATGTGCACATGATTGTTTGATTGTGGGTTAGGTTGAGGCGGTCCTGCTTTGTGCTGAAGGCCGATATACCCAGGGCGGACCGGATAGACTGCAGACCTGGTTAGGGCATACTAGCCAGGCCGAAGGCCCGACAAGCGGTCTGGATAAGCTGAAGGCCCTGAGAGGCGGTCCAGACGTGCCGATGGCTCGGAGAGCAGTCCAGATAGACTGATGGCCCTATGAGGCGGTCTATTCAGGCTGATGACTCATTATGCATGTTGTTTGTTTATATGATATTGATATGCTTTGTATAGCGTTGGTATTTTGGGGGAACTCACTAAGTTTCGGGCTTACAGTTGTTGATTATGTTTCAGGTACTTCTGATGATCACGGGAAGGCGAAGGTGTGATCGTGCACCTCCTTATGTTTTCATGATTTGATTCTGGGATACTCTAACATGAAACTATTTTGAAAACAAATTTTTAATAACTATTGGTTTTTGAATGATTTAAAAAGTTTTAATCATGATTTTTAGCCTTGGTTTGAGTGAATTGGAGGAAACACTCGTGTGTCTCCAGGAGCCAGTATGTAGACCCCAAAATACTAAAGGAGGAGGGGAACTTCCAGATCCAAATTTCCTTCAAGCTTCCAAGCACTATCACCACCTTTTCCTCCAACTCCCTCAGCTCAGCCTTCTTCCTGTCAAACCAGTTTTTCCATCTTGCTATTTTTCATTTTTTGCCAATTTAAAAAACAACCTACGAACATAAGCATCATAGTAACAAGTATATATGGATATAATGTCTTTTAAACACTAATTCTTCAAATACTCTACACTGAAAATTATCCTAGAAATAGTCTTTTAAAAAAAAATACAAGATCTTGTGTTTATATGGTTCAAAGATATGAACTTTTCAGGATGTTATTTTACACAGCGCGATAAAATGGCCACCCATAGTGTTTGTGGCAATCTTATTAATATTGGGGACTTAAATGCCCATGCCAAATTACATTCCTATGTCTCTAGCCCTAAATAAGAACAGTAATAGGCGTGTTCAAAACAACATATTTTACATACTAGAAAACAAGATGAAAAACTATGTCTGTCTAACCTTCTGCAAATTTGCAACAAATACAACCACCTTCACATAAACCCAATCTTTGAAGCCATCAAAGAACAGAGAAAAAGCATGTCTCCATCGACGGTTGAGAAGTAAGACACCACATGCTATCCAAAATCCAGTAGCAAAACCAGTCCCTACACCAATATAGAACCATCCCCAAACTTCATCAACACCTTCCTCATCTCCCTCATTTCTACCAACAACAACAGGTGGTTCTTCAAGTTCTTCATCTCCATGACATTTCTTGTTAATGGGAGGTCCACATAGTCTTGGATTTCCATCGTATCTTGATGGTTCAAAGGACTGAAGTTGTGTGCTAGATGGGATTCTCCCTGACAAGTTATTATATGACACATCCAGGTAACCCAAAAAATTCATTTGAGACATGCTTGATGGCATCCCTCCTGACAAATTGTTTCTAGATAAATCCAAAACTGAAAGGTTTCCCATCTGACCAATTTTCCATGGAATCTCTCCAACTAGAGTATTCTTTGATAAGTTCAATGCAACCAGTTCAACAAGAGTGGTCAATTCAAGAGGGATTGTTCCTGTCAAGTTGTTGCTTGACAGGTCAATGGTCTTCAACAATCCCAGATTAAATCTGATGAATTCACGTTCAGCTCCTTGCCACTCAATCACTGCATGGTCAAAATAACTTGTTGAACCATGCCAAAAATGTGAAATTGAATAGAAAAAATGTCCGATTTGTGTAGCTAAGAATCCTCCTTGAACCATGCTCGTAAGATTATTCAAACACGAGGGGATGGTTCCATGGAGATGGTTCCTTGACAAGTCTAGAATATGAAGATTCGGTAGTTGACATAATTGTAAAGGGATGGTTCCAAAGAAGTTGTTTGAGCTTAGGATAAGAACATACAACCCCCATAAGTTTTCCCCAATCCAAACAGGCACATTACCAGAAAACTTATTGGCCCCCAAATTCAACGAGGTTAAACTCGTGCAATTCTTTAGAGACAGAGGCAATTCTCCAGAAAAGTTGTTCCTGTATAAATACAATGCCTCCAGTTTGATCAAACATCCAACAGCTAGAGGAAGCCTTCCAGATAGATTGTTGTTTCCTAGATTAAGAACTTTTAGTTTTTTGAAATGCCACAAGCAGTCTGGAAGCTGTCCGGTTAGAAAGTTATCGGAGAGGTCAAGAAATCTTAAATAGCCATCTTCAATTTGGCATAAAAAAAAGATTCCTCCATAGAATTTGTTTTTGGAAAGATTTAGCGATTGCACAGTGGAAGAAACATTTGGTATCAGACCGGAAAAGTTGTTAGATCTCAAATCTATCACTGAATTGTAGTCAAAATTTGACGATAAATCTGGTATTTTCCCGCTGATATTGTTCGAAGAGAGATTCAAATATTGTAATTGAGAAGGCCACATGTCCCAAAACCCCAGAGGAATGGTGTCTGAAATTCTAGTGTTGGCAATATCCAGACGGGTAAGATTTTTGAGTGTTTGAATCCATTTGGGGAAGTAAGGCCCTAGTTTGGCAGAGCTCACATTAAGATACTCTACATAAGAAAGGTTTGACATGTGATCTAGGGAATGACCTCCTTCGAATGAGTTTTGTGAAAGATCTATATCAAGAAGGTTGGGCAGTTCAAACAATTTCTCATTTATAGTGCCATTTAATTGATTACTGGATAGGGACAATCTTTCTAGGGAAGAAAATTTTTCAATCATATCTGACAGTGGCCCTGTAAAATGGCTATGAGAAGCTTCCAACTCTGCTAATGTACACAATGTGCATCCAGACAAGTTGTTGAGAAAATCAGGAAAACTGACAACAGCAGAATTGTTATGAAATTCAAAATGTTCCAAACTACAGAGGTTACCAAGATATTTGGGTATCCCATCTAACATGTTTCTAGAGATATCAAGATGACGAAGCTTATCGCTGGTCAATGGGGACAACCAATGAAACATTGATGATGTAAGATTGTTGTTTCCGAGATAAAGGAAAGATATAGATGAAGAAGAGTTGAGAAATGAAGAATATGGATACATGACATGTGAGAGCTCACATCCCAATAAACTTAAATGTGTTAGTTTCTGGAGACTCAGAATAACATCTACCCAATGATTTTCTTTGGCTAGGGATATCCCATCCATTTCAAGTTGCTGTAGATGAGAGAGATGAACCAGCCACTCTACATTTTCAACTCTACAACTTCCAAGATCTCGAAGATAAAGCATGTGCAACTTGGTGAGGTTTCCAAACTCTGAAGGAATGATTCCATAAACAGAGTTATAAGAAAGGTCAAGGTACCTTAATTCGGTCAAAGAACCAATGGACCTGGGAATGGTTCCATTGAAAGAGTTGCGGGAAAGGCCAAGGTGCATTAATTGGGTCAAGGAACCAATGAAGGTGGGAATGGTTCCATGAAAAGAATTGCCAGAAAGATCAAGATGATTCAAGTAGGTTAAGTTAACCAATGAATAGCTAATCTCACCTCCAATATTATAGTCGCTGATATCAAGCTCCGTGACATGATGACCTGTTTGGCTGTGGCACCTGACTCCAATCCAGTTACAGCAGTCATCTTCTTCGGTTCCCCATGTAGACAGACGACCATCAGGGTCATGAAGGTTTGCTTTGAATTGAAGGAGAGCATCTCTCTCCTTTTCCAAACACTTGTTCATATCACCATTATCATCTCCTCCTCCTCCCAGTGTTACCAATTGGTTGGCAGTTGTATTCTTTAGGCATAGCAACAAAAGTGAGAAAATTATAAAAACACAAGGATGCATGATGAAAATGCAGATGTTGGTGATTTTTGTTTGTGTTTAGGTATATATGAAGATGCCCCTATGAAGGTTTATATAGTGCCAACTACTGTGAAGATGAATTATTAAAGTGGATGGTCTCAAATTGGTGACCTATCAGTGCAGGGCATCGAATACTTATGTAAAAAACATGGCAACTGATACATGCAAATAATTATAATATTATCATTTGAGAATATAGAAATCACATGGCAACTGAAGAATGTATTATGTAAAAAACAATGCACTCTTGACTCAATAATGTAAAAGAGGGACAAGACTTCTAATTGTCAATGGTGGCCCTAAAGGAGTGAAGGGCGAGTGAGACATCTTTCATTTTTTTTATACTGTAATAAATGCTCTAGACAGATTGATCTTAAAATCTAAGAGAACCATCAAGAGAAAACAACAACTAGTTTAGATCCATGAATTTATAGCTAACTGGATATTATAGGAGACTGGTGAGATCTATAAGAATTACACTAACGATAATAAAAAAATAAAGAGAAAAATCAAACTAAGGTGGTGTTTGTTTTGGTAGTGGCAAAATGTCTTTAGTCTTTTTCCGTTTTTCCGTGTCTGCAGGAAGAAGACGTGGACCAAAAGTCTTTTCTATGTATTCATACAAAAAGTCTTATTACAAAAGGATCTTGGGTTTTTTGTGGTACACAAAATAAACGGTCTTTTTAGTAAACATCTATCCGTCCTAGACATAAGTGCCCAAAAAGTCTTTTTGCCAAAAAACAAACGAGCCCTTAAGAGTCTCGCATAGCATCAATTAAGATCAATTAACAATGTACACAGATTATTCTTCATGATTAGCGGAAAGAGGCCTCTAATTTAAAAAATAAATAAATAAATAAATAAATAAAAATATATATATATATTTGAGAAAGAAGGTATCGGGTACTAGAGAGAGGGGTTTTCTATTATGAATAGTCGGCTTGAATTAATCTTACCTTCACCGGCCTCTCTGCAGTCGGAATCCATCATTCGTTTTGTGTAGTTTCCGATTCTCGAACCACGACGAGACGCTGTACGTTGGGGTGGTCAGTTCTCTACGTTTACATGCGTACAAACCCATTATTTGCTCAAAAACACAATTGGAGGGCCTAATTTGATAGGGGATATAAAGCCCAATAGTCATCAAACATATGTTTTCTTTTTTAATATTGTATATGCCTTTTTATTTATACTTCATAAACTTTCAAAAATAACAAATTTGCCCAAAATCTTATTCTTCGATATTTGATAATTATTTTAAATTCTTATTTTATCAGTTAACTGTTATACCCTTTCATGGATTTATGTTTAAAATATCATCTACATCATGTTTAAACTTTAGACACAAGAGCATCTAACGCGTGGACTTTTTTTAGACAAATTCAAAGTCTTAAAACCATCATCAACAATTTTGAGGTTTGTCATTCTTGCTTACATTACACCAATTTAACAATGGTGACAGAGAAGTTGATATGATCGCCTCAATTGATTAGAGTTGATGCCAGAGATGATGTTTACTCGATTCTATTCCTGCATAGATCAACAAATATCCATATAAAATAATAAAACTTGAAGGTTATTAATTAGAGTTTATGTATGTGTTTATTGTTAAGTTAGAAAAGATTGATGATACTACTTTGAGTTTGCGCGATATATTCGTCTTAATCTCGTCTTACTGGAATCTCACGATGATGCTTCCCAATGTTAGATTCGGCTCGATCGTTATTACGTCGGTATGTCGTTCCTCGTGAACAACTTCGACCTCTCCTAGGAATTGATATTCGGAACATATATATATATATATATATATATATATAAAAGTCCCCCTAGTTTGGATTATTACTAATAATGGGTCGAATTAGGACCGCTACCGCCGACCCACTCTCTTTAACGGATAAGTCTAAATTTACCATAAATGGTGAAGAGACAGTTCTGCAAGCCTAAGTTTCATCATTACCCTATCATGTCGCAACTGTGGCTTCAAATATATTCACCAAATTCTCTCTATTAAAGGTAACCCATAAATTTAAACTGCTCACTCTACGGTTTTCCCCTTCGCTTCTTTTGCTCTTTTTTTCTTTTCTTCTTCCTTCCGATTACTCTAAAAAACCTACCAACGTCAACGATAACCAAGGTGTTCAATCAATGCTATCTTCCAGCGAAACAATTAAATGGCATCGTCAAACTTTATAAGATTGATCATCGCTTTAAGCCATAACTCCCTTCTTCGTCGCAGAAGCTTACTAACTCTCGCTTACGGTACGTGGGGGTACATCATCAGTTCTTTCGGCCCGGTCTCCAGATACTCGCCTTCAATTTCCTGAAGGTGGTCCTTGATCACTACAATCAACATATTGTCCAACTTACCCCTAACGGTTTTCAAAATATCATCTTCTTCGTGATGCTTTGCAAAGCTTTGAACATTATTCCTAGCCTTGCTCTGATTCGTCATTTTCACGTAACCATCATAAGTAACGACCGGATATTATTCTCTCTTCGTAAGGATAGGATTGATATTTGTGATGGGTTTCCTTCTTCTATCAAGCAATGGAAGAACTTGACCCCCCTCTTAAACACCGAGGGAGACGTTCACCCCGAACTTGACTCTAGCACTGATTGCCCTCTTAACACTGAGGCCAAAGGTTCCCTTATTCATGTTTCCTCGAAAGGTGGGAAGAAACTAGTCATATCTTGAACAATTGGGTAGCAAACCGCCTACATTTTCCTCGGGATAAACTACAAAAACGCACATGCCCCACAAGAGGAAAGAAGCAGCTCCTTCTATCAGTATAAGAGCAGGAGCAGGGGACGCCGAGGATGAGAAGACTCTGTCATTGGAGGAGATAGATGAACGTATGTATGAATCCACAAACATCTCCCCTCTCAAGCGTCGACGGACTCAACGTTCTTTAAAGGGAAAAGACTATGGATGATATCATGCACGAAACTCCCAACCTCCTATGATTAGTTCAAAAGTGAGCGAGACTATCAGATTACATGAGTGTCCCATTCACTCCGATCCCATCCTAACTGATACATGTGACATCGTTACTGGACTTACTGCCTTGGTTGTTTCTTTTAAGGTTTCGGGAGAGGTGTCTCACCTTCAATACTTTCATTGTTCTATCGGTGTTACTAATTTTCCTGCCAATGTTGAAAGATAAGCTTTTTACTAGAAGCTCTTTGGTTTGGTACTTGGTTCTGGGAGTTCCAAAACCAATGTCTTTGAAGTTGGTATCATCTCCGGTTGTTCCTATTATAATGGATGGTTCACACCGGATGTATATTGATTACCGGGAGTTGAACAAGTTAACGGTGAAGAACCGTTATCCCCTTCCACGGATTTATGACCTATTTGATCAGTTGTAGGGTGCATCTTGGTTCTCCAAGATAGATCTGAGGTCTGGGTATCATCAGGTGAGAGTGAGAGAGGAGGACGTGGACAAGACCGTGTTCCAGACTCGTTATGGGCATTACGAGTTTGTGGTGATGCCATTTGGGCTCACTAATGTGCCTTATGTATTTATGGATCTGACGAATCGGGTATGCAGGCCGATGCTCAACCGATCTGTTATTGTGTGCATTGATGGTATCTTGGTGTCTTCCAAGACTAGAGAGCAGCATTAGGAGCACCTTCGGGAGCTTCTGGGGGTTTTGAGGTGGGAACGGTTTTATGCCAGTCTCTGGGACACCTCGTTAACAAGGATGGGATTTTGGTCGATCCGACCAAGATCAAGGCTGTGATGTAGTGGGAGGTTCTGAAATTTCCCTCGGAGATCAGGATTTTCTTGGGTTTGGCAGGGTACTATCGGAGATTCATTCATGACTTTTCCAAGATTCTGGTACCCCTTACTCGCCTGACGAGGAAGGGGGTGGATTTCCGATGGGGCCCTGAGCAGCAGTCAGCATTTGAGACTCTTCGATATAGGTTATGTTAGGCCCCGGTATTGACCCTCCTGGAGGGAGTCGATGATTTTGTGGTATTTTGTGATGCATCCATCACTGGTTTAGGAATGGTCCTCATGAAAAGAGGACGAGTGATTGTTTATGCTTCACGGCAGCTGAAGCCGCATGAGTTGCGATATCCCACACATGATCTGGATCTAGTCCTTTTCGTGATTGCCAGGGTTGGCCTGGTGTGATACACTTCAGGAAGAGGGGGAAGTTGGGCCTTCGGTATATTGGGCCTTTTCGAGTGATTGCCAGTGTTGGCAAGTTAGCTTACAGGTTGGATGTACCTGAGGAGCTTAGTCAGATTCATAGCACTTTCCATGTTTTGCAGTTGCGAAAGTGCGTATTAGATGATAAGTGTTGGATTAGTGTCTAAGTCCATAACTATAATTGGTATGTACTTGACCCGACTCGGCATGGTCCATTTGGGTTGCATGGCATCGGAACATTTGGATAGACCGTTTATGAGGAAAAGACATTTTGTGACATATTAATATATTATAAGTTCTAATATATTAATATGAAATCATGTTATTTAATTAGTATTGATCAAGAATTAATTTGGACTTAATTTAGTGATCAAAAAGAGACTAATTAAATATATGGGGAATGATTATGTAAATCATTCATTCTTATATATGTGGGCTTATGATCCAAGATTCCTTTATGTTGGGTTTAACCCATGTGGTGATGCATAGATACTCCATGGAGGTTAAAACCCATGGAGCATAAGGAATGGGTAAAGTCATGAGTTACATGGTGTAACCCTAATAGCCACACTATATAAGAACCCCTTTAGTTCAAGAAATTGGCACTAGTGATACATATTTTGAGGGCTAGCCGATTTGAACATGTATGTCTTCTTCTCATGGTTATTCCAAGAGTTCATGATGTTGTGTGAACCATTTGAGGTGTCATACTTGGGGCACTAGGCTCTCAAGCTTCATGGAGTCAAGCAACAACAACAAGGTATGTATTCTATCTATTTTATTATCCTAGTATCAATGTTTTGGTATGCTAGTTAGGATAAT